CATATCTACGGAAACTGTTATAATAAATAAAAAAAATACCATGTCTATATAAATGACCTAGACACCTGACTGAAGTGACGCTCAATATACTGATTGGCCTTCTTGTATAAATCTTGGCATCCGTGCTGTTCCGCGAAACTGGCGATGCCTATCGCGTTGCTCGGATCCAGCTGCCTCTCTAAGAAGTCGCAGCACGCCTGTATCACGTTTGGGACCTGGAACAATAAAGACGCAATATAGGAATTAGATATTAATTGACTAATTTTATTATATGAAAAACTTTGTTCGACATAACAGAGTCGTAATAAATATAATGAAATGCGCACCAAATCCCAAACTGTCGCACCGCACTGGAAGTGACATGTGCAAGTGAACTATCTGTGAATAAAGGAAAGTAATATTATTACAAAGAGCAAAAAAAAGATAGCCCTCAAAGCTACATAAATGATAATAATAATCAGTTGCTGGACGGGCAGGAAATATTTTGTATTTATCCCAAATACAAATCAGTCTTTCACTGCCATATTATTATAGGATTAACAAAAACACAGGCGATTCAGTCGATTTAAATGGAGCTTCTGTTCAATAAAAATTATTTGTTAAATACTGGGCAACCCGGTTGCTCAGCATCATCAGTGCCTTCTGAACGAGTATTTTCTAAATCTGGACAATTAACAAATACAAGACGAAATCCCCTATATTCTAAAAATTTAGACAAAATAATTTTTTTTTAAGTTATTTTGCCAATCCAATTTAAGATTATGTTATTTATTATTATTTTTAATTATTGTTTAACTTTTAATTATTGATAAAAAAATATGTAGTTACTTCTTAATTTAATGTTTACCGTTCTACAAAATCATGATTTATTATTTTTTCTACCACGTTAATATTTTGATTATATACATTTAAAATTGATTTTATTGTATTATTTTAACTCTTTCCTTTTAATTATAATTATTCAATCAGCTGAGAGCGCCTAAAAATAACAGCTGACACTAGATAACTAAATAAACTAGTGTTGCGAAAATTCGAAATAAATAATTCGACTAATTCGATAATTAATTAAAACTAACTAATTCGATATATCGAGATAAAAATTAGTAGTATTTATTATTTAGTAGTAGTACTCCGACGGGAAACGGAATTACGAATTATTCAACTGGTATACGCCTATACCTATCGAATATGTACGATGGAGGTCGAGTGTAGCCAAAGGGTCAAGTAAAAACGGAAATACTGTTGCCGTTGCCTGTGGTCTTTTTTTTTTAAGCTTTTTTCTTTTATCTGCAGCCATCGCCCCTCGCTATAATTTAAATTTATAATTCTACTAATAATAATTCGAATTATTAATTCGATTTTTAAATATGAATTATTACTACTAATTCGATAGTGAAAATAATTCCATTATTCCCAACACTAAGCAAAAGCTATCGGCATCCGCCGCATTTCACATTTCGGAATGTTCGATAACAATCGGAACCTTCCGATTATTTTAAGAATCGGAAACTTTCCGATTTTACATTCCGAATAGAACCAACACTAGTTAAAATTAACGCTTGATTGTAATGGTTATCTATATTTTTAAAGGATAAACACTGTTACCTATATAATACACTCAACACCCACATTTCCGAACTTTTCCGTTCCGCAAAATTCCACATTTCCGAACTATCGTCACCTCGGGGATAACCGAACTGTTGGCGCATGCGCAAAGGGTTTTTCTGGCTCATTCTAGTACTTTTCTTTGTTTATCGAGGTTTTTATGCAAATGTAATACATACACACATGTGTACATATTAATAAAAGAACGTTTTAAAAAAAAATGTCAGGTGCAAAGGAGAGAGTGATGCAGGTAATTATTTTGTAATTCAAAGTAAAGGTTTGTTTTATTGAACATTTTGTTGACGTAACCTATAATAATTTAAAACTAAATGAAAAATGATGAGAAAATATGTATTTTTAAGAAAACCGTGATACAAAACAAACATTATTGTACTGTTTATTTGCAGAGAAAAGAGTCTGCTAAGAGGCTAACCTTGGAGCAAAAGCTGGATCTGATAATTCACGCAAAAAATGGTGTTAAAAATGTTAATCTATGTAAGATGTACAAAACTTGTAAATCGTCAGTGGCAGAAATTCTTAGGAAAAAAGGAATTTACTTGTCGGAAATTGAAAAGACGAAAATTAAGTGGACGGATTGACACAAAAAAGTGCACGGTACTTATGATTCGCCATTTGAAATAAGTGTTTTCCACTGGTTTGTACAGAAGAACTCTTGTAGAACCTGTCTCAGATGTGCTGCTGAGGGAGGGCGATTTCCTCTGCTGAATTCTGTGACAATCGAAATGTTTGATAACAATCGCATTATTGTGTTTACATTTTTTTCTCATTTCAAATTTCGCGGTTTTTTGTCGTCAACCAATCAGCGACAAGTTCGGTTGTGTGGAAGTACAAGTTCGGAAATATCGTGAGTTCGGAAATTTGGAGTTCGGATATGTGGATGTTGAGTGTAATACTAAATTTATAGTGGCACAATAGCCGAGCAAATAAGGAGAAAATATCCCAGAAGTGACATTTCGCAGGTAATTTGACACTTGACAATTTTAGACTTTTATTTAGTTTCAAATTGTTATAAAACCATTGATAATTATTAGGTATTTTTTTATGATTGAACACAGAAGCACACTTGAGGATATGGCCTGTGTAATGATATATGTATAATAATGTTTTAGGGCCAATTTCAAGTTCGTTTCTGGCGAAGCCGCCATATTAGTATCACTTTGTTTATACCAGTTTTCACGCATAGACATAGAGCCAATGGAACGCATTCCCTCTAATTCTAAATCGCGGTGACTGGAACAACAAAAGGGCAACTAATATAACCGACTCATTACTCACCTGAAGCATGGTGGCAGCAGGTAGCAGTTGGCACACCGTATTCTCCGTCACACGTATTTTTCCCGTGTACATGAAGTGTATTAGCCTGGCCATGGCTGTTGCGGAGACCCCTTGCAGTTTCACCCTCTGCATATCGCATTCCTTGAGTCCTCCCGTAAACATAGCCTTAAAATAGGGACTGGCGGCAGCTAACACTACTCTGTGGGCGTGAAACAGTTCGGTGCCGACTTCTAATACCACGTCCGTCAACATGTGGTGACCCCTCATCATATCCATCGACTAGAAGACATGAGAACTAGTAGTTGGTAGAATTTTTATTTTTTTCAAGGAAATAGATTTCTGATAGTCGCTAAAACCACTTTTATTCCATGTTTTCGAGGTCGCTGAATACGAATCTGAAATTATTTTTTTCGCTAAAATTGGGGAACACTAAAAAAACGACATTTTAGTGGAAAATTGAGAAAAATTAATTTTAGAATCTTTGATGTTATACTGGCTGTATCTCAGACAATTAGGATATATCTTTGAGAATTTTTTTCTGTTTATAGAGCAACTAAAGACCTAAACAACAAGCCCACTCCGATTATTCTTAGTCAATTATTAGTTGATCGGTGAATTTTCAAATATGTACTACCACGAATTCCGAGTTTTGTCATACAATCGTAAAAGTTGAGCCAGGAAGTTTCGAATTTGCAGCAAGTGTTGCAAGAACAGACCTAATATACACAGGAATATATTCAACGCAGAATGGATAAAAATCAGCTAATTATTGTAGAATCTCCTGATACAGACGTTTTTTATTGTTACTATTTCATTTTTCAAGTTTTGAAAATTGTCCTCAGCTGTGGTTTTTTACGGGAAAAATATCTGTACGCACTGATTTGAGAAGGTATATACATATTCACAGCTTAGCACAAAAATTAGGAAATAATATATGCTCATCGTTGTTACTATACTGTTAAATAATATACGCTCTGACTGGCTGTGATACTAATTCATCGTTATTTTACATTGGCAAAACAAAAGCAGCATTACGAATTATGTCAGACGATGAATTGAGTAAGTTATCTTCAATAACTCATTCAGACATAAATCCTGCCAAGAAATCGTTAGTATATTTGCATCTTATTTATACGACCCAAAGAAAAGTCCAAAGGTACACGCAGCGATATCAATTCGTTAAGATACCATTCAGCTATTGAGAAGAACCCTGACATCGCAAGACTTCCTCCATCCAATCCAGCTATGCATAAGCATATTTTAAGAGCTATTTGGCAAATCAATGAGTGGAAACAAGCAATCGAACCTATTATTATTTCCAAAGATGTGACGAAGTTTGGATGGTTGATAGATAATGGTAAATTAAGTTTTGATTATTATGATGGTCCCACTGCCATGGAAATATTACAACAGTACTTTTGTTCCTGCACTGGTAAAAATGCTTGCAAAACTGACGTTTGTCCATGTAAAAAATCTAATTTGAAGTGCTGTGATGTTTGTAGTTGTAATGATACATGTGCGAATAAAGATGTAATTGTAGGTATAGATGAAATAAATGAAAATTTCTAAAATATTTTAATGGTTTTTATTTTAATGTAATATATTAAACTCGTATTTCAAACGCATGAATAGTATCAATCAATCAACTAATCAGTAATCAACTAATAACTGCCGGAGAATAATCGGAGTGGGCTTGTTGTTTAGATCTTTAGTTGCTCTATAAGCAGAAAAAAATTCATAAAGATATATCAATAATTGTGTCATATAGCGAGTATAACATCAAAATATCTAAAATTCATTTTTCTTAATTTTCCACTAAAATGCCGTTTTTTTAGTGTTCCCCCAATTTTATCGAAAAAATGATTTCAGATTCGTATTCAGCGACTTCGAAAACATGGAATAAAGGTGGTTTTAGCGACTAGTACTTCCGTGGTCACTGGAAGGTCCATTTAGGGGTGAGTCCCGCTCGCCTATATATGATTTGGGTCCCCCATTCTTTTATTGAGAGACAATAAGAAATGAATCACACCACAGCAATTGACATTCTCCCTCTAGGAATCATTACGATTCCACAACTACACCCTGTGACAGGTGCCAATTACCACAGGTGGGATTCGAACCCGCGCGGATAATAGCTCTCGGAGTTATCGCCACCTTCTCACATGGCGCTTTTATCACTGAGCTATCGCCGCGGCTATTATAAATGGCAATTATAAATATCCCCTGCGGCCACTGAACTATTTCTAATTCATAGAACTGCTAAAGGAACAAAACTAACGATTTTCAGGGAAAAAAAATAGTATATGCTTTTCACAGATTATATCAAATCATGTACATATACATACCTATAAGTGGATAATTTTTAGAAAGTCATTTTCTTACGTTCTTATTATCATGTTCATCGTTTTCAACTGAATACATTATTTTTATCGATTCCAAATATTATGTATTTTATGGTACGTGATAAATAACACATTTATCAAAATAAAAACCGATGTACGTCAAGTTTTAGAGTGCGCTTATGCCATATCGCTATAAAATTATTCAGCAATTAGAAGTAATTTTGACTAGTGGATGGATTCTTTGTGTTTATTTATTTTTTCAACATTAAAAAGATACCTACATAATTTTAAAAGACATATGCATTGGTTGGTGCATAAATATGCAAGTACAAAAAAAGAGCAGGAAAAATAGGGAGTCAAAGTAGTAAAGATGTTTTTAATGCTAGGAAAGTTTCTTAAATGGTAGAAAAATTAGTAGAATAAGGCACACGGAAGTTTTGTAATTTTTAAAAAGTAAGATTTTCTTACAAACACCATTCGGTTACAAATAGTGCAGTGTAGTTTGTTGTACATATGTAAATATCGTTTATTATAAATATTACAAATACCACATGTATTCATTGCTACAGTATTTGTAACCCTCTTGGTAGGATTATGCTTTTTAGGTGATTTTAAAAATGCATTGTTGTCTGCTTTTGGTGAAATAGAATTAACCGCAGAAACATTCAAGTTTAGGGCTGCTGCTACGCGCTAAAACAATATATTGGACTGTAGTTTTGATTAATATTTTAATTTTACATTTAAATTACCTTTCTTAAGGGTAGCAATGGACCATTATTGTCTCGTTCTTTTTCAAAATAGCGTATCAGAGATGCTACTAACTCTTGGCAGCAGCTGTTTAACTGTTTTGGCATTCCGCAAACGGAAGTCTGACAACTATAACACTTTGATTGTTCTGAAAATAACAGTTCTTCAATTCAATGTAAAAGTTGAAGCTCAAAAAATACACAAACCACTATTAAAGCCAATGTAAGGTTCAGATAATGTCTATCAACAAATGTATATATAAATGTAAATACAATACTGCAACTTCCGACCTTCTACCAACTGCATAATCGAATAACGAATATCAAGCGCGATATTTAAAATTCAATAAAACATTTCTTTATAGTTTTTATTTCAATATAACTGAGTGATGGTATCAATGCATACATTTAATAGCGCTATCGGTGACGTGCATCGGATGTTATTTTGTACAGTTGTTTGATATTACTACACAGTATCGTGTAGTAATATCAAACATAATCTCATAATTATATCCTATTTTTTCCCAGAATTGTAAAATACTTTAGCAAAGTTGTTGAACCCATTACCACGAACGATGAAATATACTATCGTACTAGAAAGCACTTTATTCAAGTGTATTTTTAAAATACATTTTTTGCCTACTTGAATACCATTATTGTATTATCTCTGTTAAGAATATATATTTGGTCATTTAAATGACCAACCTGTGTTTGGATGACACCTGTATATCACCTGCATTGTACCTATTTTTGCACGATACTAAACTGCTCGTCAAAATTAGCGTAACACTTTTTAGATGAGTGCTATTTTCGATCTGTTTGAGCTAGAGACTTGCGGTTTGAAAATTCCGTTAGCCTATAGGATTGTTTTTAATGCCCCAAAGTCGTCATACTGTGACTTAAACGGTTCGCCGTCTACACCCCAAAAACCAACCACGTCGAAATTTGAACTCGCAAGATTTTGACGGCAACTTCAGACTCCTACAAGATGGACTAAGAAGGACGCTGTCGTGTAAAAATCCTATTCTGGCACACATTACGACTTCCCCAACAAGTCATGGCCATTTGGTCGCTGCCCCAACCTTTCAACCCATTTCCAGCACTCGTGATTCATCCCTCTGCAGTTTTGATCCAAATGCTGCTAAAATCATTTGAGTCGTTTGGTCTCTAATTCACGTTCTAACATCACATGAAGTATCTCGAAGTTGACTGGACTCATTAGGGACCGTCGATTGGGCGCCAAAAGTAAAATTCTACCCCCCAATCTACCCCTTGCAAATTTGCTACGTTGAGCGGGTGCAAGCAGGTCTCTACACGTGAGGTGACTTAGAAAGAGTTCCTGAATAAGTCTGAGCCCATTCCGACCCACTCCGAGTAGTTCATCTCTTTCGAATCCTTTGTGTCTCAGCACCCTCACACTTTTAACACCCTGCACATTTTTGAGTAGGCGAAAATTCTTAAATGAGAGGTCGTTGGGTAGATGTAACCTTCCCTTACACGTGTGCGTATCGATAATCGTGAACTCCGTGAGTGAGACGCTCGGTGAGCGCGACAAGTGCTCCGCGTTCCTTGCAGCTTAGGCAAGCGAACGCCCGACTTTCCCAACGCCTGGAAGGTAGGCCACCCCTAACAACACATGTCCAGTGTCACGGCAGAAAGGTGACGGAAGGGTCGGTTTTGCACAAATTTTGCCAGCGAAATTCGATCTTTTTCAGCTTTTGGTTGTGCTTTAGTTGTGCAATATTGTTTAACAGTAATAGAAAAACCTAACTTTGGGTTACATAGTTCAAAAGACGGAACAAATATTTTAATGCATTGAAAACTTCGGGCGTTCGCTTGCCCAAGCTGCAACACTTGTCGTGCTCATCGAGCGTCTCTCTCACGGATTTCACGATTATCGATTCTCACAAGTGTAAGGGAAGGTTGCCAACCCAACGACCTCTCATTTAAGAATTTCCGCCCACTCAAAAATGTTTTGAAGGGTGTTAAAAAAAGAGGGTGCTGGGCTACAAAGAAGGATTACAAAGAGACGAACTACTCGGAGTGGGTCGGAATGGGTTCAGGCTTTCTCAGGAACTCTTTCTATTTCACCCCACAGAGACCTGCTTACATCCCCTCAACGTAGCAAATTTGCAAGGGGTAGATTGGGGGGTGGAATTTTACTTTTGGCGCCCAATCGACGGTCCCTAATGAGTTCAGTCGAGATACTTCATGTGATGCTAGGACATGAATTAGAGACCAAACGACATGGCCCACTTAACAGGCAATTAAAATCAGCAATGACACTTTCGATATAGTCCAAAGTAATAATTCCCATGGTAACGTATGGCTCCCTGATCTAGTGGCACAAAGCTAGAAAAAGGGAGCCATAGCAAAATTAGGAAAGCTGCAAAGACTTGCCTGTTTAGGAATAACAGGGGTCATGCAAACAACGCCCACTACAGCTATGGAAGCAATGCTGTGCCTTCCGCCTCTACACATTGTGCAGGAGGCTCTGACAGAGACATTCCACACAGAGATATTCAAAGAATTAAAGCAAAACGGCATGTTAAACATTCGGTCGGACAGAATTGGCCGTGTCATAATCTTCCACAAACCTTTTCGGGTGATTATATCGAATGAGAGGGAGGAAGACAAGAGACACATGCCAATTCAGCAGAATGGAACCATCTGGTACACATAAGGGTCCAAAATGGTGCAACATACAGAGACCCACGGTGCAGAATCAGCATAAACTTGAGGAACTCAGCAACCGTATTTCAGGCAGAAATAACTGCAATATCCGCTTGTGCGCAGGAGATGATCAGGAGGTCTTACACAAATAAGAGGATTCAGATGATCTCTAATAGCCAAGCAGCGCTCAAAGCCCTGGGAGCACTAGAAATACTTTCACAGACTGTATGGATTCGCTAATACAACTAGCGGAACACAACAGTATCACTCTCAAGTGAGAGGACACCAAGGCCACGAAGGGAACGAAAGAGCGGACTTTCTCACAAAGAAAGGGGCTGAGGTTCCACTAATAGGGCCCAGGGTGAACCCACCTGCGGTCTGGCCTACCGGACAGCCAGGAGGGACATAAATGACCTATTAAGAGAAAACACATGTCTCACTAGGCGAAAGTCCCAGGGGTTGAGACAATCGCGGATGTTCATTGGCGAACCATCCTGAGACAAGTCAATAGACCTTATAAAACTGGGTAGAAACCAGTTGAGACGGATTCAACTCATTCTACATCTCACGACAATTGGGCTGAAAAATGATCCCGGTTGCAGGAGGTGTGGAGAGGAGGAAGAAACCTTCTTCCACATATTATGCGAATGCCCAGCACTGGCAGCTGTTAGGTATTCGAACTTTGGAGCTACAACAATAGAACCAAAAGAAGTGACAGACGTTCCATTAGAAACTGTCCTTAAATTTCTTAAGGAAACAGGACTAATGGAATGACTAGACTATGGGGGCACAATAAGCATCAGCTTAAGTGCACAGGGCATGCACCTACCCCATATATAATTGTAATTGTAATGGTTTTACGTAGGTAAATTCACGTTACACATATAACGCTATGCTAATAAGACCGTCGATATTGGAACTTCATTGCGCATGACGTCACGTTGGAATCAGAACAGTATTTATATTGTTCATTCTTCGTTAATTGTAAGGAACATTTTGACTTCTTAAGGGTCATTCGAAATGATTCTGTTTGTTTTTGAGGTTATATAGTTATTTGGTGTTGAGTGGTTTATTTGAAATTATTAGTGGAAATGGAGAATATAACTAAAGACGACGCCAAGTTGTGCAAAACCATACTGCTAATTTTAAAAAATAAACGTCACTGTGTTCATATTCATTTTCTTATTAAAACATTGACTTTATTGTTATCTCAGTTATAAACCATAATGTATTTAATACTTTTTCCTGTATGAATAGTAGTTAAAGGTTTAATTTTTTAATAAATAATTGCAATAAATAGTTTTTTTTTCGCCAAGACTCATTTACTTTACTGATATAAAGTTCATATCAAATTTTTCTTGTTTATTTTTCATTCAATCAACTCTTTTTCAGTTGTTCTTCAAGTCGAAAATGTATGCCGCACGTTTGATTAAT